TGTCTGGGAAGGTAAAAGTCAGATGGTGTGTTCAGGGTCACCTGTTGGGCTGCTTGCAGGAGGGTCAGCTGTGCCTGTTCTGCACGGTTGGCCTTTTTCTTCTGGGCGTTGGCTTCTTCTTGGTTGTGCTGTTCCCATGGGTGTGTAGCATGACGCATCAGCTCATCTAGGCGGGTACCTGTCTTCCAACCGATGTATGTTGTCTGGACAGATTGCCTGATTGGCTGTAGGAACCCATTCATCATGTTCTGGCACAGGATGGTTTCAAATGCTGAGACTTGTTGGGCTGTGCGCCAGTTGTCATTAGGAGGGGTGATGCCTGAGTGGGTGCGAAACACAGGAAGGAGGCGGTCGAGATAATCAAGAGGTGACTCACCAACTTTCTGGACCGTGTCAGCAATCTTGGCGTATGTTGGAGTCTGCAGGAACACTTCTTTGACTCTGTCCACGATGGTGTTCACAGCGTTTCTGTAGGCGTTGTTGGCTGCGTCGTTGTACTGGATGTGGATCAGGCGATGATCATGAGCAAACAGTTCTGGCCCTAGTTTGGATAGAAAGCTTACCCCATACACTTTTGTTAAAGTCAGCTTCAGTTCAGTGATGGAGGGTCTCAGGACCTGTACCAGGTTGAAGATGGCGTCTCCCACTGCATCGCCTCCTTGTGCCACATCTGGAAGATGTTGTTCAGCGAGAGCTGCCAGGTCGTTCACCGGCTATGATCTGAAAACAAGCTGAGGACCTGCAGGACCACCCACCTCTATCATCAGGAAGTTGCCTTGGCTGAGGTTGGAAACCATCGAGGTGCTGGTTTGGCTGGAGTTGGAAACCTCATTGCTTTTTATTGTTGTCTTGGGTCGTTTTTGTTGTAACTGTAGGTCGTGCATTTCTTTTTCTAATTGTTCTTGTTCCCTTAATAGTTCTTTTTGTCGTGCCCTTGTTTTGCTGTGAGCACAGTGCTACTGATTTTTAAAGCAGGAGAGAGTGTTGATGGTGATGACGCTGCGCTGGATGCTGTGTCACCGATTGTGTCATCAAAGTCATCTGCTCCAGTGCCTCCTGTTGCATCACTAATTTCCCCTCCTCCTGCAGAACCTCCCACATCTCCTCCACCTGCATGTAGGGGGAGCTGTGCTGGGGGTGGGTTCAGGAGGGGCCCAGGATAATCATCGTCCGACGTGATGGCCCACACTGGTTTCAGGCTGGAAAGCGTCTCTCTTTGTATAGGGGTGTATGGAGGAGGATTAGTGACTTCTGTGAGGGAGGGGTACAGCTGAGCTGAGGGAGCGGTTGGCCTGGCGTCTCCGGTGTGTGTGTCAGGAGGAGACAGAGAGAGAGAAGGAGAAGACAAAGATTTTTCTTTTTAGTGACTTTTCCTTTTATATTATTTGTACAGATATTTTGTTTTTTGTGAAGTTGTTGAAGTCTATTTACCTGTTGTGACATCTGCATGATTCTGGAATTGGTTTTACCTGTCTGGTTCTTGGACTCATTCTTCCACATTTTAAAAACTTGTTCATGATTATGCATAGCCTCAAGCTGTGACTTTGGTATTTTATTCTGGCTCATCATCTTCTGCTTTTGATTTTGCAGCTGTAATTCTAATCTGGCTATGTGTTCAGGTTCAAAAGACCCGTGCTGTGGAAAACTGAATTTTCTATGCCACTGAGGGACCAACAGAACACAGGATTCTCCATGTAATCGTTTCATGTGATCAATAACAGGTCCATAAGGAATATATTCTTCTGTTTTAGAGTTAGTTGAACCCATCTTAACCTATATGTATATATATATGAGAAGTAATAAATGGAAAAATAGGAAAAAAAAAACGTAATAGGTGGAAAATAAATGGAAAAATAATAAATGAAAAAATTTAATGAAAAAATAATAAATGAATGAGTGAAAATTAAATAAATAATAAATGAAAGCTGCAAATGAGTGGAAAATAAATGAAAGAAAATAATAAATGAATAAAAGCTAAACAGGAATAAGTGGAAAATAAATGAAAAATAATGAATGAATGAGTGGAAATTAAATGAGAAAGAAGAAGAGAAAAAAAATAATAATAAATGAAAGCTGCAAATGAGTGGAAAATAAAGGTGAAGAAAAGAGAGGAGAAAAAAAATAATAATAATAAACTAATAAATGAAAGTTACAACAAAAAAAACCCCGTGTGTTCTGAGCGCTCCTTACTTCGTCACAATATTAGAAAACAATCCTCCTTCTTTCTCCGCACAACACGCGGTAAACCTTTCAAAACCTTCTTTTTTAAACAACACAAGAAATGTCCTCAGACGCCGCTGAGACATAAAATTCATGAATTAAAACTGTACCAGAACGCCGCTGATTCAGCTTTGTCAGATCGCCGCTGACGTCGGTTTGAACGGACGCCGCCGTATTTTCAAACCGAAAGTAAATTACAAAAAACTGTATTCGGACGCCGCCGACTTCAATTCTCTTATGGAGAATCTACCCTAAATCGGTTTTCTTAAGGAAAACTTACCCTAAATCGGTTTT